AAACAATCCTCACAAAGATCTTTGTTTCGGTAATTTTCTTTAAACACTGCAAAAACTTATCACACAGTATCTATACAGCGCTAGTAACGACGAATTGACTTACGTTTGATGTGAAGAATAATTCTGTATTTACATTTAATCTTTTGATCGAATTTAAAAAGAAAGAAAAAATACAACATACAAAAGAAATAATATCTATATCTGTTCGCTACCCTAACACGTGAACAAAGAGGAAAACATTGCACTGTTTTCTGATATAAAACTTGTGCATAGTTATTTCAAGTGAAATCCAGAGGATTATTTTATTTTCTAGTAATAAATTTTGGTATGTAAAAAATTGTTTTGTTTCAGTAACGGGAGTTTACCAAACACGGAAAAGCGCTTTACATGCAATCAAAAGTGGTAAACCCCATATTTAAAGTTGTTTCCAAAGGTTTAAAGACAGTGAAATTATTCAGATTGATCAATAAACATGTAAAGAAACGTTATTTTGTTCATTATATCAGCTATATACAACCAGTCATTTGGTCACAGAAATTTGTTCTTTAACTTTCTAGGCTTAATCAACAGTTCACATAAGAAAATGTAAACAAACAAACAACAACAACAGTTTTGACAAACGGTTCTAAAACAGGGTTGTGTGAAATTTTATAGGCTTTTTACTGGTATTCTGGAATGTATATGACACATTAAGACAACTAAATATTGTGAGAAAAACCATTAAATTGTCACACTGCATGTGACTAGTTGACCACAAAAGGGATGGTTTGTTGGTTTGGTTTATTTTGATTTTCGCGCTAAGTTACACGGGAGCTTCCTGCACTAGCCGTCCTTAATTTAGCAGTGATATAGTAGAGAGAAGGCAACTAGTTAACACAACTCACCGCTAACTCTTTCACCAACGAATAGTGGGATTGTCTGTCACATTATAACGCCCCCACGGCTGAAAGGCCGAGCATGTTCAGTGATCAAGAGGGAGAAAGTATTTTCTTAAATTTATCTGTATTTTATCGAAATTATGTGACGAATTTGTTATTATATATCTATTTTAATATCAACGTTTGTCTAGATTAAGTTTATATTTTAAAATATGCGTAGCTTATAGTGTTAAATATGTATTGCGAAACTCCCGCCTATTCTCCAAAGTGGTAGAATATTTTCGAGAGTAAGAATCAAAAATATATGCGTGTACGTAAACACTTAAATTGTATCGTTACGTAATATGAATTTTCTAGAAAAACTTTCCCACCGCTATAAATATAACCAACGCGACGCGCCAAAAAAAGTATCTATTATTAGTTCACTACAGTCAGTGTGCTATAAACTTCGAAAGCTATAAATGTGATTGTTATAACGTTTACCCATTGGAAAACTTCAGATATTTGACCAGGAGCATTTACAAAGTTCGAACATTACAACTCATTTAACTTTAGTGTATTCTCATCAGACATTAGTATTTTTACGAAAGCATTACCTAACTTCAAAGGTGAAAAACTCAGCATGTGTGGCAAAGGACAAAGCTAGCTACCTTCCCGGTGAATCGTACCTACATCAACTCGTAATTAACTCGCT